CCCATGTAAAAAAAAATCAGAAAAAATCAGATTTTAATCGATTATTTTTTTATTACTAATTGATTATAATGGCACTATTATAATCCGATTATAATCTAATTTCTAATCAAAATAATGATTATAATTGATTAAATTTCTTATAATCAATTAAAATCATGGTTTTGATTAAAAATCGGATTAAAATCCGATTATAATAGTGCCATTATAATTGATTTTTAATAAAAAAATAATCGATTAACTCTCGAGAAATCTGTTGCCAATTTTCTTCTCTTAATTCGATTTCAATTGACTCAAATCAATACTAATCTATTATTGACTGAAGCATCACTTTAACTCATTACCACCAGTGATCTGACTACAATCGATTTTTACTATTCCAGCGGTTTTTAGCATATTCTTACCGGTTAATCGTCTATCATGTATACTTACCTATTAATCGATTTTAATCTATCCTTACTAGTTAATCAATTTTAATCTATTCTTACCTACTAATCGATTTTAATTGATTTTTATCTGTTAATCGATTTTAATCATTATTATCGAAGATAAGCGTTTTTTTGAGATTCGAACGCGAAACCTTCGATTTTTCGTTTTAAGAAACCATGTAGTTACCACTAAGCCACATGATACTCACATATAGTAGAGTTGGAACTCCTATATAAATTGCTTCAAATAGAGATTGTGCAATTACAGCAGGAATCAATTAAAATCCATTAAAATGAAAATAATCGATTAAAATCGATTAAAATGAAAACCAAACCGATTATTCAACAAAATCATCATTCTATCCGGTATCATAGGAAAAAGACTACTAAAATATATCGTTCAGGAATCGAATCGTTTGTTTGATGGTTGTGAACGTGATTGTATCTGTTTCTTTTGTATATTATAAATAAATAATAGAATGCATGGGAAGAATATGTACTTGATTCCGGAATGAACTATTCAGTTATTTTGAAACCCGCTGATTTAGTAGTCACGGTCTCATTTTAACGTCTAAAATGCGTGCTATTTATCTTGAGAAAACGGTAAAAAACGAAGTTTATTTTGTTAAAAATAAGTATAGCGATATTCTTATCTTCAGTCTGACCTTTCGCTCAGATAGAAACTTTTTTTTGCAAACGTGAAAATGCAGGTTTTAACGCGGAAAACACGTTTTTCCAATGACTTTGTGTCGCTGTCCATGTGAAAAAATTTAGAGGAATAATCAGCATCAAATCGATTATAATTCATTAGATTTCTAATGGATTTTATAAATTTCGTTCGTAAATAATCGATTTTAACCATTTCGAGTAAAATGATCCATTGTAATGTATTAAAATAAAATAATCGATTGTAATCGATTAGATTTCTAATAGATTTTATTGATTTTGTTGGAAAATAATCAGTTTTAATTATTTGGTGTAAAATAATCCATTTTAATGTATTAAAATAAAATAATCGATTATAATCCATTGGATTTCTAATGGATTTTATTGGTTTTGCTGGAAAATAATCAGCTTTAATGATTTCGAGCAAAATAATCCATTTTAATGGATTAAAATAAAATAATCGATTGTAATCAATTAGATTTGTCATGGATTTCATAAATTTCGTTCGAAAATAATCAGTTTTAATGCTTTCGAGTAAAATAATCCATTGTAATGGGTTAAAACAAAATAATCGATTATAATCGATTGGATTTCTAATGGATTTTATTAGTTTTGCTGGAAAATAATAAATTTTAATGATTTCGAGCAAAATAATCCATTTTAATGGATTAAAACAAAATAATCGATTAGATTTCTAATGGATTTTATTCATTTTCCTGGAAAATAATCAGTTTTAATCATTTCGAGCAAAATAATTCATTGTAATGGATTAAAATAAAATAATCGGTTGTCATCGATTAGATTTGTCATGCATTGTATAAATTTTGTTCGAAAATAATCAATTTTAATGATTTCGAGTAAAATAATTCATTTTAATGGATTAAAATAAAATAATCGATTATAATGGATTGAATTTCTAATGGATTTTATAAATTTTGTTGGAAAATAACCAATTTTTTTGATTTCGAGTAAAATAATCCATTGTAATGGGTTAAAACAAAATAATCGATTATAATCGATTGGATTTCTAATGGATTTTATTGGTTTTGTTGGAAAAAATCGATTTTAATCGATTATGTCTGTAGAAAATCAATTATAATGGATTATTTTGTTCGATTTAATCAGAAAACAGCAACTTTCATCGATTTTTCTTGATTATTGTTGGAAAAATCAAGTTTAATCAGATTATTGGGCCGTTTTTTTTACATGGGT